CACGTAAATGAGTAAACAAAGAGGATGTATCCATTTCAATTCCAAAAATGGAGAAAGAACAAGGACGACAATACATAGCACATAAGAATTCAAAATAAGAGAGAAAGAGAGAGAAGAGGGGCTAGCACATAAAGAATTTCAAAATAAGAGAGAAAGAGAGAGAAGAGGGGCTAGCACATAAAGAATTTCAAAATAAGAGAGAAAGAGAGAGAAGAGGGGCTAGCACATAAAGAATTTCAAAATAAGAGAGAAAGAGAGAGAAGAGGGGCTAGCACATAAAGAATTTCAAAATAAGAGAGAAAGCGAGAGAAGAGGGGCTAGCACATAAAGAATTTCAAAATAAGAGAGAAAGAGAGAGAAGAGGGGCGGGCGAGAGAAGAGGGGCGGAAGAGAGAGAGCATAAGCAGCTCTTTGGACATTATAACAAACAAACAATCAATATACATTGTGGGCATCAACATCAAGAACACTCCATTTGCATTGCTGATATTACAGTAAATCCCTCCCATATCACATCTACGTTGAATTAGACACAGAAAGAGAGAGAGGTCTCAGTCGAAGAAACATTAGAAAGAAGCAAAATCCACCGGCAAAGAATCACAAGAGAGAGAATGCAGAGCAGTCATTCATATCTGATGGATTCGAGATGTATGCATATATGTAGAGAAAGGTATCTCTCTGTGTATATATAGAGAGAGGAGAGAAATTCATTCTATGAATCGGATTACAAGACACAATAAGAGTAATTCAGTCCTAGATGGCGGAATTACACAAATAAAAAATATATATACACAAATATTTAACGAGTGAGAGGTCCATTCTACGGAAATTAAAACTATAATTAGAGTAATCCAGTTCTAGATGCAAAAATACACAAATAAGATATATAACACTTATATATTTAATGAGCAAGAGGTTCATTTTACGAATCGGAAATTAGAAGCATAAGATAAGGGTAATCCAGTCCTAGATGCGAAATTCTACAGAGTGCGCTGCGGAAAGATAGAGAGAGACAATGGAATGCTAGAGAGAGACGATGAGAAATACAGGAAAATACCTGTGTAGAGCACCATCGCCATGGCCTGCAGATAAGAAAAATTAAGAGAAAGACGATCAGCCCAAAGATGGAGAAAAAGATAGCAACAACCATGGAAATCGCTGCCATAGCCAAGTTAAGTTACGGAAGAGGCCTCCGTGAGCCCTTTTGTGTTGCAGAGGAGTTGCAGAGAGAAAGAAGGGAGGGGAGGAGAGAGAAAGAGGGCATTGGAAAGAGAGAGAAGTTTTGAAAGGGTCCGATGACGATCGATTTGAGTGCAGGAGAGAACGGAGAGGGTTGTTCAGGTTTAAGGTGACTGCCTCAACCATATTTAGTTGGGGGCGTTGTAGTCAATGACTCTCTCTCTCTAGCCCCGCTTTCTCTCTCTCTCTAACCTCCTCTCTCTCTACTCAAGCACTCTCTAGAAATACCTATAAGTTAACCCTTGCTCAATCTCCACTCTCCTCTAGCTTTCTCTCTCTACACATCTTTCTACCGCTCTCGCTCATTCAGTATTCTCTCTAGCTTCTCTCTAGCTCCCGATCATTAAGTATTCTCTCTCTAGCTCCCGATCATTAAGTATTCTCTCTAGCACTCGATCATTCAGTATATTCTATAATTATAATTATAATATTTTTTTTTATAGAGGGTAAAGATTGTCACAATCACAATATTATATCTCTATACTATTTTATTTTTTATTTTTTATTTTATAAACTCTTTTGACATCAAATTTTGGACGTCCAATCCTCTATTAACTAGCACTAGAGAAAAATATGTAAACAATATTTTCAAAAAAAAATTAAACAAAATATTTTTGAAAGTTTCAAATGGTATTTTGATCATTATATTTTATCGAAAAATTATTTTTAATATTTTTTATAAGTGCGTCTCAATGAGAATATGGTACATACCAAATTTCATATTCATACAATTTGTATAAAAAAAACTAAAAATAAAATACTTTGAGACGTCGGATCTAAGATCAAATGGTGAGTGACTCTCTTGATCAAAATTAGACAGCTGGATGGTAGAAAAAGTATAGATCTTCTATGTTGTGAGAGAAGTATAGAAACATTTCCCTATATATATATATAGAAAATTTTTGTACAAGGGTGAGCCCTAAAACAATCAAATTAAGGCACAAATAAAAATGCACTAGAGAAGGTTGTTTTGATGATGAAAACCCTCTAGATCATCTCCACATCAAGATGTATGGACATGAGAAAAAATAAATTTCAAGTTTTAAAAATACTGTATCTTTGTATTATCTAGTTTTAATTGAACTAAACCTTGCATTGGTTTTAATTGGACTAGACTAGGTTTGATGGCAAGTCCATTCGCCTAACTATGCTTATCAATTATTATGACACAATCCAAGCTGTTCAATTTCATATGTTGTGATTATAGGTGATTATGACTTTCTTGTGTCAAAAATTAATGATCTCTACTATATGGTTTTCTATTAAAATTATTAGGCATGCGTACATTTCTTAGTGCCAAGCCATCCAATTTTTGTACCTAGCTAATTTTCCTAGCCCGGCTCTGGACAATTAGGGCTTGGGCCACAAATTGTGCCTTGAGGGCCAGGTCCAAGCCACAATAGAGCTGGTCTAGCCCCAACATGTTTTTACCCGTTATTGTTTTCTTATCTGTTCTATAATTCTATTAGTGTCAACTCTGTAAGGAACCGAGCTATGGGCTTACTTAGCCCAAGCCGGACATGTTGCTAGCCCTTTTTGCATGATATAATACGTCCCAAAATTACAGGGGTTTTAGAATCACTAGGTTCCTAAGACGAGTCCGATACCAACTCGATCAAAGTTTACCTTGGCCGAGTCTCAATATTAAAATACTTAAAATGAGGGGACCCATATTATATTTCTAGAAAAAAAAGAAGATGGAGATACAAAAATCCAAAAGATCCCACCACAATTGTGTACTTGATCTCCTAAAAATGAAATAAGTGAGTACCAACTACAATATGAACGTGCATAATAAAGCAAAAAAGGCATATAAACCACATGAACACAAGATTTACCAGGTTCATTGCAAAGAGTTATGTTCAATTGGCTCCACAAACAAAAATTCATTATATTTAAATCACGTATTTTAAGACATGAAGCTACCCATCTGACCATCCACAATTTGCCCAAAAAAACCTGACCATGGACAATACCATTTTAAATATTCCTTTTAAACATGCTTTATTGACTTGCAACACTCATCAATCACCAATCTCTTTCCGCTGCTAAATCACTACCCCGAACGGTTGGATTTGGTGATATCCAAAATCACCCATATAAAGAAATCACATATTATGTGGGATTGAGATTGATAAGTTTCATAAAAAAAATTAGAAATCCAAAAAGATTACAACTCTTGAATATATTTATTGATTTTGAGATATATGTAACATGTACATGAAATTTCCTATTTAGTGTGGATTCATAACTTTATATATATGGGATGTAAATGCAGAGAATTTGTGTACTCCACTATATGGGAAAGGTGGAGATTTTGGGTAGTTTTTCCTTGTAATAAATAGAAAGTGAGTTTCTCCTTACTCTCGCGTCTCTATCTGGTGTTGTCACTAATGGTTGTCAGTAAAGAAAAGAACGAGATAGTGGTTTATAAGGATTTACTCGATTGGGTTTTTTGTCGAGAGTTAAAGAGGTGACTCTTTATCCAAAATTTTTTGATGTAATTTTCAATGATATAGTGGATTTTAGTTTGCTGTACTCGTGGATGTAGCCCTTTTTAGGTGAACCACATAAATCTTGTGTTCTCGTTGTATTGTGTTATACGTTATTTTCTGACGTATTTACATCCTTGGTACAAATAAGAAGAGAGCTAATAACAACCTGGTCTTGTCGGTACCGAAGACACCGTCAAACCAAGGGAACACTGCAAAAATAAGCCTAAAACTGAACAACCTTGAAAAAAGTACTAAAACAGCTTTGAAATGCATGAAAATGGTAGTTTGGGATACTCGAATGACACTCACAAAGTTTCGTCACATTCAGATAAGTTTCAACACCATCAGGATGAAAATTGATTCTCGAAGACCCGTTCCTATTATGCCGGGAAGATACCTTATAATTATAGCCCTATGCTAAGGGCTTCAAAACAATACCCAACCATTGCCATTGCATCCATAACATTGAAAAATCCCCTAGGGACAAAATTTTGGCTTAATCGAACTTCCCAATGACATTTTGGGCTCAAATTACCACAAACAAGTAGGTTTTACACTATTGCGGTGCGGCCTCACCAAACCAGTTTCCAATCATGTAGGTTGTATTTTCGTATATCGGGATGATCTGCAAGTGCCCATAGGTTGCCTATTTGGAATCAAAACAAGCTTAAATTTAGACACAAGTTAGGTTTCGACGATCCGGTCATTTTGACATATGGCACGCGTCTTGACGTGACCTAAAACCAAAACGTTTCTAGAGAGAAAATGAGCCCAAAACCATTGAAATCAAAGTTTTGAAAGCAAGACATCTCGAACATCATGAAGTGATAACTTGATATTCATACATCAGATCATCACAAAGTCGGGTCCGACGCGACCGAATCACGAAGGGCTACAAGCTGATACAACGTTTGTACTCAATCTAAGGTCGGATAGTGCAAATTCCAAGGTTGAAGACAGCAAAATTTCTTGGTCACCAGATTCCCTTTTTCCGGCGACCTTCCTAATTCAGAAATACTTTAAGCAAGAACCAAATCGGACAAAATTTGGTTCAGAGCAATTGTGACAGTCTCCTCTTTAATTTGCAATCAAAATAAAGACTCGAAGCATCATAGATCGCATTGCATTGACGACCAAAGTTTACAACCTAGCAGGATTTTTACGCCTCGGGAAAAGTTCGTCTCAGGACGATCAAAAGTCATCAAACTCTTCAGAATCAAGCAAGCATCAAGACTACAATGATGAATCGTCTGAACCACTGCCACAAACATCTGAAAAAGCTCCCAATATCTGGCAATGGCGAAAGGCGGCTCAGAAAGGGATGGTTTCGTCATTAGCACAAAATATTTAAGAGGCATTCTGGTCATTATTTCTAAATTCGGAATTTTATTGTAATTTCTTTTAATCATAATTTGGCTTAGTTTTAAACATCCACTTGTTCGGTCAGTCCTCTATATATATAAGTTTAGGTCAATTGTAAAAGAGCTAGATCATTCATTAACGAAATCGATGCATTAAGCTTGTGTCCACTTATCTTTTACTTCTAATCCTTGGATCCAACTGTGAGGAGAGAGAAAACTTTAAGAGAGAGAAACTACCCCATTCTCTCTCTCCCCTTCTTAGGCTGGGCCACCCCTGAAGCCCACTCTCTCTCCACTTTCTTCCTTCTCTTTCTTCCTCTCTCTCTGCACTCATTGCTTGCCGCGCACAGTTACCTAGAGCCGCCACAAACGCACGGTCCCATCTCTTCCCCCTTCTTCTTCTCATTCTCGTCGTATTGTGGGTCTCGGAGTCACGGAACCCACGGTTTCGTCTCTCTTTAGGATCTTCCCCTTTGTGCTTCATGCGCAAACACTGCAAACCTGAGGCTCCGTATAGCATCCCACTATCTGTCATACGCTCAATTCAATATCCTTCAGAGTCATCCCAAGAGTTCCAACCCTCTGGCCATCGCTCTAACTTCCTCTCCATACATTTGAGTTGAGCCATGAGAAATACATACGTTCTCTCCCTCGCTCACTCGGGTAGAGTCTTCTTGAATCAATAGTCGATAGGGTTCTAACTCTTTAGTTGCTTTGATCGCCTGAGCGCATAGCGTTTGCGCGAATAGGGGGATTTTTGTCATTATTTCTCCTGCCAGCCAGCCCCCATTTGAGTGAATCATTATAGAGGAATATTGTTGAATTCACATTGCAGTTTCTAGCATAAGAGAACAGGGCGACGCGTTAAAGCTTGAGGAGAGTTCATGTCCAAACCGCGTTGGTAGACAATCGGAGGGCTTCGTAACTGTTTTAAGAGGGCGAACTACCCAGGCATGTCCCCGAACCCCCAAACGACGAGGTAGAGTCGAATCAAACCCCTGTCATAAAAACTTTCTCATTGTTGGTTCCTATCCGCATAAAGGAGAGCACGCGTGTGCATATCAACAAACGTGCAACACGCGCAGACCCTCCATGGTTATTTGAGAGAGGATTTTCTCCCGCCATCCGCACAAGGAAAAATCAGGGCCTGACCAATATGTTTTATGTTTTATTTCTTGTACTTTATTTGCTAAAAATTAACCCATTGGGTTTAAAGCTTCTGCACACAACAAGTGGTATTAGAGTTTGATTTGGGGTCCTCAATAAAGCGGAAAGGATTTCGAATGCAAAGTTTGAGGTGGAGAAATTTGATTTCTAGCACTATTTTTTAGCAAGAAAGATGAAAGAATTTATTTGGCAAAACATGAAGGAATTATGAAGCTATCCAATAGATGTTGGCATGGTGGTGAGCAGGTGATTTTGAAATCAAGGTGGAGATTGTTGGATTTGATTACATCTAAAATCACCCATATAAGGAAATTCCATATTATATGGGATTAAGATTAACAAGTTTCCTAAGGGAAATAGAAATTAAAAAAGATTAAAACTCGTGGAAATATCTCTTGGTTTTGAGATATATGTAACATCTACAGGAAGTCTCCTATTTAATGTGGATTCCTAACCTTATATATTGCAGAGAATTTGTAAGTTAAAATATTTGATTCTTTTAGATGAGCAGTTCCCATTGAGATTTTGAGCGGTTTTCCATTTTAATTAGAGAGGAAGTCAGTTAAAATCTTTGATGTAACTTTCATTGATATAGTAGATTTATGTTTGTTGTACCCATAAATGTAGCCCTTCTAAGGTGAACCACATAAATCTTTGTATTCTTATCATACGTGCTTCATGCTTTATTTATCGTATTTTAACTGTAAAATATCAACCCATTTAAATAAAATACCTCTCTCGTAAAAGACATACCATAATGTTTCTCGCAGTAGGAAGCTCACCTCTCTTTTCTGGAAGCCTATGTATCGACTCTAGAGGCCCCTACCTCTTTCTAGAGGGAGCCTATTTTCCCAAATGAGGTCCCAACTTGGGCGCACGTTCTTTTTTCTCAATGAAACCAAGGTGAATACCTCTCATCACTGAAACATCCCATACAAAATCATGTATGCCTTAAAACCTAAGAGATATATGATAAGACAAGTGTCCTAATGTAGTTAGACAGTCTAACATTGTTCACCCAATTTTATGTTAAGGAGACATTTATGACAGAGTTCTTATCGAACGAGGGTTCATATTTCATCTTTTTTTTTTTTTGGACCAAATAACAACCTTAGTATACCAATTGCTTGTTTTTAGAACCTACTTACCTACTTAGATGCGGAAACAATAAACTTTAAATATTGGGATCCACTAGGATCGTGTATTTAGCATACTATTAACAAGATAATAAAAAATGAATAGTAATAAGTTATGGTAAATAAAACAAAAAAAAAATCCACAAACAACAAAACATATGCTGTTCATCCAATAGGGATTGTCCATGTAGACATCAAACTGATATTTATATTGCCAATGAGAGTCATGTTATATATTTTGTGATATAAAGTTACCTCTTTAATCTTTGGCAATACCATGCGGATCTCCTTTTGTCCTGACCTGCACACCGATGACTCATCTATTTCTCACCGCTAAACCACTATTGAATAAACTAGAACTTGACAGCAACCAAGTCTTCTTTCTCACCAAAAGAGTTGCCTCCAAAAATCTAAATAGAAACCGTTTTTCTATAAGAAACCAGACTCTCTTTGAAAGAGGCCCCTGACGTCCCTATGCAGGGTGCCTCAACCTCTCTCTAAAAAAAGCCTACTTTTTTTATTCAATGAACCCAACTAGGACACATTTTTCTCTCTCAGCTATTATTCATTGTGAAACCAGATACCGCCCCATAAAAACATCTCACATATGTCACATTGATTTCAAAGCTTAACTGATACAAGATAAGACCAGGAAGTCTAAATTTAGCCAAACTACTATTTGTGTTTAACAAAACTTAATTATGGCAGGGTTTCTAATGGGGTTTTGCTATTATTGACCCCAACAATAACATATTGGTTCGACTCTCAGGAGTTGAGGACTAGTCATGGAACCCTATCACAATGCAAGATCACAGAGACCTGAGATAGTCTAAGCCCAAGTGGACAATTTTACCTGAGATAGTCTAAGCCCAAGTGGACAATTTTATCAAACACTAATCCAATGGTAACATAGGATGGTTGGGGGTTTTCATTCCATGCCCAAACTCTTATCATAGACTTTTAGAAAAGGGAAAGCACTCTCCAACCATTCCTGTTGTCATCAAACCGCTAGAAAATTTGTTTTTCTCTATACTTAAAATAAGGAATAATTGTGACATCCATATACAAAAGATAAATGATCTATTTGTAAAAAAAATTTATATATCATGTTATATTTTTTCTCAGACATGTAAAGATTAAGTTCATTAATTCCTATAATGTTTATAGTTCGAGAAAAAAATCTATCCTCTTTTTTCATCCATGGTGTGGGTCCCACTCACATTTGCTGAGTGCATTGGAGCACCCAGAATGCCAAGCCGTGAAAAAGAGCATCACAATAATAGCCATTTTAGCCCCACCGAGCTTCTTACGCTGGTCTTCATAGAGGCTCCTATAACCTCTTTCTCAAAGAACACTCCATTGAGCTTCTTACACTTCTCTTTGCCAAACCAGATATATCCCCCCTCTCTATTTCTTAGTATTTTTGTGTTAAAGAAGTTTTAATTTATTTCATTCTCAAAGAACACTCCATTGATCTTCTTACACTTCTCTTTGCCGAGCGAGCTATATCCCCCCTCTCTCTTTCTTAGTATTTTTGTGTTAAAGAAGTTTTAATTTATTTCAAATTGATATAAATATAAGAAGGGCATGGTTTTCATCCAATTGAGACTCTAAACATTCTTTTATTAGCCAATTAAAACAAGTTGTATAAAATGCAAATTTAATTATAATAGGAGTAGAAATGAGAAAGTAGTTAAGATTGATAGCCAATAAATACTTCAAAAAAAAATATTAGGTCGATAATCCAAGATAGACGAAGATGTTGCACCGTAAATTAGAACGGGGAGGGCGAAATAGAGATATACTCCCAAAGTTTTATGTAATAGTCGCATATCAATGAGACTAAAGGGAAGTTTTATAGAACAATTGTAAGACCAACCATGCTTTATGGGGCAAAATGTTGGGCGTTCAAAAAACAACATATCTATAAGGTGAGCGTAGTTGAGATGAAGATGTTGAGATGGATGAATGACGAGATAAAAAATGATAGAATTCAAAATAAATATATGCGAGAGAACTTAGGGGAGACTCTAATAGGCCATAATATGAGGAAAAATAGATTTGGGTGGATTAGCCACGTGCATCATAAACCTAATACAACACCAGTTAGGAGGAACGATTTGATTCAAGTAGCTCTAAATCTAACACTAGATAGGAAAGACAATTTCATTCTAGTAGAAGGCTCTAAAAGGGTACTAAAAATGCCCAAAAAGACATGGATAGAAGTAGTGAGAAGAGATAAAAGGACTTATGATATAACTGAAAGTATGACCCTTGATTGAGCATATAGCGGATTCATGTAGTAGACCCCAAATAGTCAGGATAAGACTCATATGATAATAAACGCAGGCTGCGATAATTTTTTTGCGGTTGTACTCATTCTTAGATGGAAAATTGTTTCATGCAGGCTGAACCGCATGACTACCTATGTGGTCCAAAAATTGTAAATCATCCATCTTAAATATGGATGCAAGTAGGTGTTCCATCTAAAAACAATGAAACTAATGGTCTAAATGTTTTCTTGCTAGAATTGTTATTTCTAGTTTTTAAAATTCATTTATTTATTTCTAATCATGATATCCATGTTAGAAATTATATGTCTTTAAAAATTAAGTTAAAAAATTCATCTCAAAAATATATTTATTAAGAGGCCCGCATTTCTACAAATACGGGCTTGGCTGCATAGAAACCGGGTCCTTCTTAGATTGTGTTAATTTTAATCACTTCTAGATTGTGTTGGCATTTTTTTTTTTTTCAGAAAATTGATCAAAGCATTCATAGAGGATGAATAATTTAATATTATACCCTCATATTGTAATTTAATTTTAAAATATCCATAGAAGAACACATGATTTCTATAATAATTCATCTATTACGGATATTTTGCCAAATGTAATTTTTTCTGGCGCCCAGAGCATCCTTTCACTATAACAAAGAAACAATCTTTTTATGGCAAAAGATATTATACTCTCATAGGATTATAATGTTTATTTACTCTCTCAAATAAATTCCAGTTAAAATTAATTTTAGGATCTCAAATTTTATGGATGTAACCTCTTCTCCACAAATCAACCTCAATAATTTTTTAAAAACAACTTGACCCTCTATGCACTTAGAAAAATTAATGTTTCAATATTGAATAGTGACCATCCAATGTTTAAACAAGGGAGACCTAAGTATTAAAAATCGTAAATTATAATTTTTTCTTTTAATAATAATTATTAAATGAGTAATGATCTTATGTGACCCTCTCACATCCATATGTATAAGAACTTAAAAAATCTATTAAATTTGACACAGACCTCTAAAAAAATTATCAAATGGGTGTAGAATTTGACCTTTCTGAAGATCTGTGTCAAATTTAATAGTGATTCTTTAAGATCCTACATACATAGATGTGAGAGGGTCTCACAAGGTCAATTCCCTTATTAAATATTTTCTTAAATTTTATGTTGAAAAAATCATCCCATAGAAATCTTATGACAGATGGAGTAGAAGTACAGTATACTCCTGAGAGAGCATAGTATACACGCTCATCTTAGTAGCGCTCTACACCAAGTACCCGCCACCCGCAAAAGGCAGCGAGCGCAAACCACGGGTTCTCTCTCTCTCCATCTCCCTCCTCTGCAAACATAAACCACAGGTTCTCTCTCTCTCCATCTCCCTCCTCTGCAAACATGCCTATCACCTCCATCCAGGCCTCCCTTTCTCTCTCTACAATCCTCCCTTCACTTTCTCTCTCCTACTCTCTCTCTCCCTTCCTTTCTTCGCGCCTCTCCTTCAAACCGTCCCTCCACCTCTCCTCTCTTTCTCTCTCATCAAATCCTTCCTTCTCTCCTCTCAAAATCTCTGCATCTGCTGCTACTTCATCCTCCGCGCCCCCTCCCCTCGCTAACCCTAACCCTAAAAAGGTCCTTATTGTGAACACAAACAGTGGCGGCCATGCAGTTATTGGCTTTTACTTGGCAAGAGACCTCGCTCTCTCAGGCCATGAGGTCACAATTTTCACTGTAGGTGAAGAATCATCAGATAAAATGAAGAAACCCCCGTTTTCCATGTTCTCTGTAAGTTCCAAATTGCTAATTTATCTTTTCTCTTGAAACTTGAAAGATTACTCAATGTGAATTTCCCTTCTTGCCATATTTGCATTGGGTCTGTTACATTTGCAGAACCGGATAATGGGTTTTGAATTCCCATTTTATATATGAAATAGTATCTATAGTACTATTTTTGAGCAATTCTGTTGTTTTCACTATATCAGAAGCTACCATGTTTGATTTCTCCTCTTTCTACCTTTCTTCAATGGAAAGGATTTTGGAGGAATACGGGGGAGCAAGCAATTAGCGTTTTCCAATCTCTCTCTCTCTTCTCTCTCTCT